GCATGAAAGCCCTGCAATACCTTTGCTCTGAATATGAGAGTATGAAACCCAAGGCCACCGGGTTAGCTCAAAGAGGGGAGAGGAGGCCAGGACTCAAACCACCTCTCTCATGTGGCAGACCACAGCATTAGTTGCAGGCATGCCTGGAAAGAGAGAGCAGTCAGGGGTCTCTTGCAGGGTTATGCAGGACATGAATGGTTTGATCCTGACGGTTTTATTTAGATGGAGAAGGCTGCCAGGTTGGGCCATATTTACTGTACCAAACTCAGAAATTCTAAAGACAGCGACTTCTGTCCAGCCTGACAGAAAGAGGAGCACTCCCTGTCCTCTGCTTGTCCTTCTCTCCAGCTCCTCTGAAGATGAGGGGCACATCACTCACTTCTCAAACAAACTCACACAAAAGCCACCTTGGAGAAGTCCAGCTCTGAACAAAGCGAAATAAGGAAGATGCCTTTGCAGGGAAGCACCTACTGCTTCCCCACTGCTGGATCCCTATGGGAGCAGAAAGGGGCACTGTCCCTTTTGAGCTGGACAGGGAGCAACTCAGCATGCCTGGTCTCTGGGAGCAACCACAGCCAGGGAGGAAAACTGTGGGCTATAGTGGGACAAGGGGAGATTTCCTGAAGCCCGCTGCAGAATAAACACTCAGAGATGAGAGGACAAGGGACCCTCCAGTCCTGAGGGCTGTGCAACCAGATTTAAAAATAAAACCTAGGAGAGAGAGAACTGGCTTGCCCAGGACCTTGAAAGAGCCAGCATCCACCGAGAAGAGGGAGCAAGCAGAAAACCACGAGCCCGAGGCAGCCAGGAAACGCGGCAGCAGCAGCCAGAGCCACAGCCCAGCCACAAGAGAACAGGTCGGCTTAGGAGGGATGAAGCTGGCTGGGGAGTTAAATTTAGACAGGTAAACATTCCGAGGGGAAGAGATGGGGTTCACACAACCCTCATGTTTGCCACTGCCAGCCCCTGGGGAGAGCCCTTCAAAGAACTGCTCGGGGGCTGAGGCACCTTGGAATAGGGCTGTCGGGGCCAGTGGGTTGGGAGCACACAGCTCTGTGGGGCATTTTTACCCCAGCATTTGCTCCAAGCATCCTCCTGCCTGGCAGCATCCCCAGCGAGCAGGAAAGCTGTTGAGAGAAGCATGGAGGACACTGCAGCATAAGGAAAGGTGCGAATCCTGAGTACACAGGGTACAAAGGGACCTTGCAAAGGAAACGTACCAGGGGAAACCCAACCGGCAATATGGTTGTGGCCATTTTGAGTCAGAGCCTTTTGAGCTTCCTTTCAGAAGGAAAAAAAGAGTAAAATAACCAAAACCAAGGAGTCAAGTCTTGCAAACTCAGCCAGCCTCTAGAGCTTGAGTTATCCAGACTCTGTGAAGTGGAGGGGACACACAGCACTCCCTGCTCTTCCCTGCCTGCAGCTCTGAGAGAAGCCAAGAGAGCTCACTGCCTGTTTCACAGCTCCAAGGACAAAGGGAAGGATCCCTACAGGCAGACACACCACAGCCATCTGCAGTGGGCTGCCAGCAGCCGTGCCAGGCAGGGAGAGCATCCCCACTCTGGGGAGCTGCTGGGCCAGGAGTGACCCTCTGCCCCAGGGACCCCCCAGCTCCACCTCTCACAGAGCAGGGCAAGGCCTGCCTGAGCTTCATCAAAACTGGGAAGGGGCTGGTGGATCACAGGCTTGGTCTCATCTGTCATTCTGCCCATATGGTCCCAGCCAGTTGTCCCTGCAGTGAGCCCAAGAACTTGCACTTTAGTAGAATGTCCCTTCCAAAGAGACACCCCCTCTCTACTGGAAGATTTTAAGAGGTGAAGAAGCCTTTGGTCATTTGTTCTGAGGGTTAATCACCCTGCTGTTAAAAACACTGCTTGGTTCTAACACAGCCTAAATGCCCAACCACATGTCTTAAGTTCTCTTGAATTAGAAAGTTCTCCAAGCACCAGCTTCTTTCAGAGCTGCTGAAAGCAGTCAGGTATCCCACCATGCTACAGCTTAATGTTCTTTCTCAAATGCTACACAGGTCTTCATTCCTCAAATCTCCCATTAGAAAAGGATTTTTTTTTTTTAGTCCAGGAGAAATTCGCCTGAGCCCTCTCTGCGCTGTCTTCAGTTTTAATAAAGTCTGTGTGCCTTCTCCCAGGACGTGAAGATCCCTTTCTGTGCAGAAGTGGAACCAAATCACAGACTGTCCTGTCTTACATAACATGTCTTGGTTGTCCATATTCTGATTTTACAAGTACTGTGTTTAAAAGTCTCTCTGAAATGCTGTGTGCGTGTGTGTCCAATTTATTTGGAAATGATGAAATGGTTTTCACTCGAACTTTGATCAGCTGCTAGAAAAAAAAAGATCTTATGAATAGAAACAATTTATATTCATTTAAATGAGCAATCATGCAGTTTTCAGAAAAGAGCTGGTTTCTCTGTCTGCCTTGAAATCCAAACCCAACAACTTCAGGACAAAAGACTGAAGATGTGAAGCAGTCCAGAAACAAAGGGGCCTACTGGGCTAGAGAAAGGGACAAATAGCTTAAAGGTAACTTTAATTTTCACAGCATTTGATCTCTTCCTAAAAGAACAAGCTCCTGGAGACTTCACTAGACAAGAATGTTCATTTTTCTTTAAAACACAGGACCCCTGACTTTCTAGACCTAGCTCTTTCCAAATTTCTATTTTTTTTCAATTGATGTAATGAATTCTGGCAGATTGGGAGGGAAAGGGCTGAGAAAGAAGACTTCTCAGGGCTGGGAGCCTGCAGCCACAACTTCAGTTTCAGCTTTCCTAAACTGAGATCAGTCACACGTGGAAGGACATTTTCAATGTCCATCCACCAGAGACAAGGAAAGGACACAGGGGCTGCTTACAGCTCCTGAGAGGTGAGCTAAGACTGAAGGAGCCTGGGAGGGACTCCTTTCCAAAGGGAAGGGATCTGTTGCAGACACTCCTGGGTACAGGAATGAATGAGCAACGGAGCCTGTGAGCAGAGGAAACCCAAGGCTGGAATGGGGCCAGCTCACTTCCCCAGCTCTGCCTCCTGACCCGCACTGGCAGCTCATCCTCATGCTGCTCTCCTCATAGACTCAGCTATTTTCTTCAAAGAAGGATAAAAACCTGAGTAGTTGGGCTAGCTTCTCTGCACACGTGGCAACTCATCCCATACCCTGGATGTTTGGGGTGAAAAACATTCCACCTGAATTCTTGCAGAGCCCAACCTTTACCTTGGCTAAACCCAGGTGTCCACGAAGAGGACACTGGTTTAAGAGGAGTCTGTCTCTCTCTTGCCACCCTTGAGAAAGCCCACTTCTTTCTCTTTTGGGAAGAAGAGCATGTACCCAGCTTGGTTCTCCACTTACAACTGCACCTGACAGAAGACAGGCACCATCAGAAAAAGTGGTCCTTTCAACTCCTGTGTTGATGCCCAGCAGCAAATGTGGGAAGGAAGGGCCATGACAGGCTCACACCTGAGCATAGTGTGAGGGAAGGAGGGGGACACTCTGGAGATGTGCAAGCACCAGGCAGGGACAGATGGATGAAGATGAGTGTAAAGGAGTGTAAAGGAGAGAGAGACCTTGTGTGTGCCCAATGCTGTGTGGGTACAAAAGCCCTCATAAGGGCACCAAGAAAGAGCCCCCAACAGCTAGGAGATAAGCAAGCATTGAAGCACACAGTCCTCACATGCAGGTGATGTGGAGCAGAGGAGATTGTACTGGAAATGTGCAGGTGCACACAAGGAACACCATGCACATGCACCCAAGGTTTTGGCTATGAAGAAATTGAAGCAAGAGCTTAAATGCTAGTACACATGTAAGAAAAAGCTCTGTCACAAAGAACCCCGATCCCAAAGGTGAACAGGTGAGTATGTGGGTGCAGGCAGCAGGGCAAGAGTGATGATGATGATGGACTGCAGGGCAGCCAGGAATGCATTAAGAGATAGGTGAAAGTTGGATAGAGAGACTTACAGGGACACTCACCTGATGGCAGACGAAAACCATTAAAAACATGACACAATAAAGTGCATCAGAGCACACAAAAATATGTTTGGGGAAGTTGTTTTACCCGTACCACTAAAGGAAGTATTACACCACAATTCCCAGAAGAAAAACCAAGTTTCACAGAAGAGCGTGTCTGTCACAGACATAACTGGGATGCTCATGCCCTGGTTCTGTGAAACCGGGCACACTGTCACTTCTCCTCTGTGCTTCCAAGAGCACAAGGACCCTTTCCCACACGCCATGGCTCGTGCTGGCACATGGAGCCACACCACACAACACAGGTGAGAAGGACACTGTGGGCGCTCCCAGGAAAGCTGCTGTGCCCAGGGAAAGGATCCTCCTCTGACAGTAAAATCTCCGTGCTCACAGTAAGGTCCACCCCACTGGAGTAACATCTGTTTTGTGAACTCCTGTCTGTCATGCCTGAGGAACATCTGTTTCATCAGCACCCCGGAGGAGCATCCCTCACGCCCCAGCGACATCCCTCACACCAGGGCTGGCCCCTCACACCAGGGCTGGCCCCTCACGCCCCGGCAGCGTCTCTCACGGCACCGCAGGTCTCTCCCACCGCAGGAACACCACCGGGACCCCGTAATCGGCCCCAGCCCCGCGCTCCGGTGGCCCCTCCGCTGTCTCCGCTGCGGGCTCTCCCCGGGGCTGCTCGGCCCCGACGGCCCCTGCCCGCGACAGGGCCCGGCCGCCGCGGGGGCTCCGCGCAGCCCGACCCCGCAGCCCCCGCTCCGCCCCGACCGGCGGCCTCACGGGGCCGGGGGCGCCTCCCGGGGTCGGCGGCAAAGCGCGGACGCCTTTCCCGGGCTGGGAGAAGCGGCAGACCCCCGGTACCGCCCGCGTCGCCTCCCGCCCCTTCGGGGGCCGCGCAGGGAGGCGTCCGGCTCCGAGACGAGCCGAGCCCGGGGGTCCGCAGCGCCCGGCGCGGCCGAACACCTCCCGGCCCCCGGCCTCCTCCTCCCGCCCTCCTGCCGCCGGGCCGGGGCCGCCTCCTACCTGCATCTCCCGGGCGCCGCCGGCGGCAGCGGCAGGTGAGCGGGCGCCCGCGGCGGGCACGGGGCTCCGCGTCCCGCTCGGCGGCGTCGCGGCGGCCGGAGACCGCGAGGGGACGCACCTGCCCCGGGGCCGCCGCCCCGTCGCCGCGTCGCTGGGGGGGCCCGGGCGGGGGCCGGGCCGGGGCTGAGCTGCGGGCCCGCTGCCGTCGGGGGGGCCGCGCTGGTGAGCGAGGGAGCGGCGGGGACAGAACGCCGCGCTGGAGGCCACCGGGCTGGCTCCCTGCGCGGCCCCGCCGTGCCCGGCAGCGCAGCCCCCGCGGGCAGACTCGGGCTCTCGAGTGTCGCTCCCAGCGCATCCCGCCGTGCTCCCTCCCTGGCCCCGCCGGCTGTAAGGGTCCGGCCCGCTCCGCTGCTCAGAGCAGCCTGCTCGTGGGGCTCCTGGCCGGGAGACAAACGTGCTGGGAGCCAAAACCCCTCCGGGACGGGCAGCAGGGCCCCCGCCAGCGGAGGGCTTGTGACCTGGTGACCTACTGCTTCATCTCAGCAGGGATTTTTGGCATCTGTCTCCCAGTGCGGGTGGGCGGCTGGGTTGCAGTGAAGGTGCGAATGAGGCAGAGCCCGGTTCTGGGATGCTGTTGAAATAGACTGGCAGAGTTTGCCAGAAGAGACAGCGCATGAAGCTCTTGATGGGGCTGGCGCTCAACAAGCACATCCATCCCTTGCCTGCAACAGCAGGAATCACACTGGGGGCTGTCCCCCACCCTCCTTCCCATAAAACTTCACAGATTCGCAGCCAGATCCCGTTCTCACTTTTCCTGGCAGAAGCAGGAGTAGCTGCAGAGGCATTAGCAGGATCACCGTAAATCTATGTTGGTGTAGCTGTGAGCGGTGCCTAGCCCCCGGGACTGCTGGGCAGCTCCGTGCACGGAGACAGGATTTACATGCCTGCTCTCCGAGCTTGGTGGCAGCTCTGCGGCAGCCAGAAGTTACACTTGTTGTGTCCAGGTCCCCATCTCTGGGCCCCACATCGTCAGGCATCCAAAGTCCCCACACAGCAGGAGCTGCAGAGCCTCATACACAGTGCAAAGAGTAGCTTGCTGCTCCTACACGTACCCGAACTCACACATGTAAGCATCCAAGTGGAATTACATCAGGGAGGCATTTGGCCCCCTGGAATTGCTCAAATTTGTACTGGCTTGGGACAAAACACAGCTTGAGACACCCACTGACACAAACAACTTGTTTCAAACTGCTCTGAGCATCCATTTGGGTTCAGGGTGGAAATACATGAGCATTTTTAGAGGAGCAGGTAAGTGTTTGAGTACAGGCTACACACTACAAGTAATTGAAGGCTCCAACTGTCTTAATTTATGACCAGCTGTGCCAGTGTTTCCCATCACTGCAGTCATTAGTGATACTTTCTTTTAATGGGAATAGGAGATAGAGGAGGTACAGCCAGAGGTAAAGAGTAACCCAGTGTTTGTGGCAGGAAATAAGGAGCCATTGTCCTCAGTGCTGTGTAACTAGAAAGATAATAGTTGGTACAGCAAATGCCAACTAATTAGAGGGCAAAGGAAGTCTTGAAATTGCAGCTGGCTGCAGGAACTTTGAGGTGCCAGCTTTTTTGCTCAGAGGTAAAGCCTGTTTACCACATGGGCTGCTGTTCCCTGCTTCTCTGTTGAACTTCCATCTTGCACATTAAGGCTGCACAGAGGAGAGGCAGGGTGCTGCTTTGGGGACCCAGCAAACAGCAGGGACCCCTCCTGGGGACCTGAAGGGGAGTGTAACAGAACTGGGGCTTGGTAGCAAGTTGCTTGGTCTGTAGAGTAATGTGCTTTTCCTCTTTTGGTGCTACAAGGGACAGCTGGCCACAACAGGTCAGCAGGCCAGAGATCCTCATCCATCCTCACAGGAATTCTCTTGGGGCTGGCACTGCTTCACACCCCAGGGTGGTGTCTTACATCAGGGTTGGAGGGAGCAGGCAGGGAAGGCAGAGCCACTGGACCACCAGCAGAGGTGGTTGGGCAGCACTGGATAGATGTATTCCTTAAAACCTTCAGCTATGGGCCATGTGGATTATTCCAAAAAGAGACCAGGTTATTGAAATACCATTCTGGCCTCAGCATAGTCCATGAGGAAGATGGGAATTCCTTCAGCTTTAATCCATCCTTGGTGCCTCCACTCCTGCTATGGTGGGATGAGAAGGGCCATTGGGAGATAGATAGCTGTGTGTCAGTGCTGGGTGCCAGGAAGGGCAGGAGGGACAGCTGGATGTGCATCTCCAAAGTGGCTGGGAGTGATTTCCCAGCTGACCACCTGTGGGGCTTGAGAAGAGGTGAAGTGTCCTGAGGCAGCAGGAGCAGGGTGCATGGCCCATCTCAGAGGTCTGTGTCTCACAAGGGGGAATGCCTTGGCAGTGCTGCTACTGCTGAGGACAAAAAACCCCACAGAATGAGTTGGTCAGGATGTTGGTGTGGTGGGTGGTAACAGGAGGCCAGCTGCTTTACCTTACTGTGTCCTCTCTGCTGAAATGTCTTTGTTTTCTTCCTGGAAGGAAAAAAAGTTGATTCCCTTCTTTTATCGTAGTCTGCCCCAAAAGATTGCCTTATCCTTCACCAAAACACCACCCCATGGATATCATTGCACAGATGTTGTCCACTGAAGCTATTCCTCCATCTACAGAGTAGGGCAGATAAGGGCACTTGTGTCCAGCAGGGGTGATCCTTACTAGGTGCTGGGAAGAGGGGCACCAGCTGCCAGTAAGGAGGGGCTCCTGTCTTGTCTCAGCCTCCAAAGGTGTTGTCCATGTGTTTTTTACATCTCCCAATATGATTAAGCCTCGCTGATTTAATAATGGGCAGCATCCAGAACTGGATCTGGGCAGGAGGTGGACTCTAGTCCATGACCGGTCTGGGATGTGACTGATGTTGGTGGGAGACACTGCACAGCACACCCAGGGAAGATGTTCCATCTGCTCCCTTGCAAAAAGCAGCGTAACCCATGCAGCCTCCTGGACAGCACAAGCTGTTCTATTTCTCTTCATCTCTCTGGAACATTCCTATGGCTCCAATTGTCCTCATGCTCCTCCTTCTCTTCTGCTACATCTTGTGTCTGTCCCCTCCTGGTCTCTGCTACCAGTGAGCAGGAAGAGGTGGGGAAGTGCTCAAACTATTTGAGATGTGGAAATACTAAGCTCACTCTGCAGAGAAGAGCAATTTAAAATGTATTAAGGAATTTAAATTCCTCTCAGTTAAGGGCAGGACCCTGCAGAATATATGAAGAAGCAGGAGACCTTATCACGAGAAACTCAGCCATGGCTCCAACTTCTCCTAAAGCAGGTGTAGCCCAGCCGAGCAGTTCTGTGGTGCTCATAACCTCTCATCCCTTGGAAGTTTCTTCCATCCCTGTTGCACCTGCACAATCATCTTCCCCCTGGTCAGCCCATCCTGTATCCAGGGTAGAGCTGAGGCAGAGATAATGCCTATCCTGGGACAGCTTTCAAGGAGAAGGAATATCCACTGTGCTTCTTTCATTGACATGGATCTTTTTTTGCCCTTTAACCCCTTGCCCCTGGTGGGGGCAATCCCTGTGCTGGGATCACTACCAGTAGTAGAAGCAAGTGAAAGGAAGTGAATTTGTGAGGAACTGGACATGTTTCCAGCAGTGAGATTGTTATGAGTCAAGGTGGAATTCACGGAATAAAAATCTGGAAAGGGAAAAAAAATAAATCTTGAGCTCCTGCCAAAGGAGAGCTCGTTCCAGACAAGCTACCTGATCTGACCTGCCTTGCAGGTGTGAAAACCTTCATTGACCCACCCCCACATTCTCTACCTGCCCTTGCAAACCCCAGAGGAAAGCACCACCTCACTCCCAGCCCCTGTCCTCGTGGGAAGCAGCCAGTTTCCTTGGGGCGTAGAGCTCATGACCTGAGAATCTGTGGCACTCCACAAAAGGAAATATAGGCTAAACATCTGAAACATTTTCTAATGTTGACGTCTTTCAAATGATGGAATTGTCTCCCCAGGGACACGTGGATGCTCCACTCCTTGAGTCAGAGGGGCAGGACCTGACAGTGCAGGGGAGGGGAGAGGTATTGTTGGGAACCTCACTGCTCCTGTACCAGGGAGAGACAGCGAGGGGGGAGAGGAAATGAATTAGATGACTTGAACCATTTCCAGCTCTAATTGCTATGATTTTGCAGTAGTTTTCCCAGCCCCGAGTATAACATTAACCATCAAAGCACGACTTCACTCACGGTCAATTAAACCAGGATTCATCTGGCTCGACATCACCAAGACAAATCCATCCTGGACTCAGGGACACCCCGCTGAGAAAAGACAGGAGCCAGACTGGGGCTGGGCACTGGTCATCCTGTGGGATAGGCAGAAGCTGCTGCCTTTAGAGGTAGACATCTCCAAGTATTCTCTTCCCTTCTGCCAGCACAGGACACAAAGGGAATGCAGCAAGTGTATGAGGTGCAAACACCTTTCCTCACCTCAGTGATGCACTGGTAGGGTCCCTGGGATTGATCTCCCTGTCTGGACGGTCCTGCAGGTTGGGAGGCTGCTCCAGAGGTCAGATGAAGACAGACAGCCTGCAATGCTAGCTGACATGTGCAGCCCTGCCAGAGCCAGGCTGCCTCTCCACATGCAGTGGCTACACCTTACCCTCTGTCCAGTTTGCCCCTGGCAAACTGCAACAGGCAGATTTGGGAACCCATCAAGAGATTCAGGTCTGGAGCTGCATTCCTGAATGCCGAGGTGCACGGGGTGGAGAGCAGGCCAGGGAATGGCTCTCCCACAGCAGCTCTCCTCCTTGCTCTTCCTCCACAGTCCTGGTGCAAAGGGACGAGCCCAGCCATTTACTGGGCTTAGAAAACCAGGAGATGAAGTAACAAGAAGTCCCCAGGGTTTAAAGGACACAGCAGGAGCCAGGCTGGCCTGGTGGCTGCCGTGGGGTGAAGCCCTGGCTTGCCTGTCTCCATGAGTGTTGGTAGCATGGCTGGGGAGAGCACAGAGAGTTCAGCTCTCCCCATTTAGCCCTTTAATCATTAGACAGGCACTCCCAACAGCAGGTTCTGTGGGCTGGCTGAGTTAAACTGTAACTGCCCCCCTCGGTGGCCCCCGCCAGGATCCCTGGCTCCAGG